GAAAAAAAAGAATTAGGAGAATTTCATGAAGCAAAACAAGCGTAGAGAATTGTAGATATATTTGTACAACGAGAGTCACACTGTCCCTGGTTAATTATTTTTCATTTACTTTTCATTTTCAGAATTATAAACTGAAAGGAAGGTGATAGAATAGAGGGAGTAAATGAACGTAAATGTTATGTAATGACACTTGAGGTGGGCACTATCATTGTCCTTCGAGTTTCAAAATTGTAGAGCTTCCTAAAGAAACTAGTCAGATGGCTCTGATTTGAAAGAAAGTTATAGCAAGAAGAATTGTGCAGAATTAATGAAGCAGGTTTAAGGATTCGTGAAAATGGTTTACATTCTCTCGAGGAATTTATCTCAATAACTTTTAAATCTTAGTTTTTTTTTTTTTTTTTTATTTATTCGGTAACTTGAATCGTATTCGTAATATCGTGGCATTAGTTAAAGCACTACAATTGTACAGCTTCTGTTTGCAGGTTGCATTTATCTTTGGTAAATTCAGAGGTTTTGCAAGCTAAAATAAATGCAGAACTCTTGAGCTTATTGCAGACTTTTTGTACTATTAACGATATCAGATTTTTAATAAACTCAAATCGAGGCAAGTGTACAATGGCGGATAAAACTCATTATCGGCAATCCGTACAACATCATTCAAATGTCGCTGAAGCTTGTGATATTCTATGTGGTATATCGATACAGTTTGCCCGTAAATATCTCTATTTAAGAACAGATCGGAAAGCTATCTTCCATCTACTGGCAGTTTTTCTGTTGTCACTTTTCGCTGCTCTTGTTCCTTTACCCGATCATTATTATTTTGTGAAGGTTGTTTTCCTTTTTTTTTTTTCTTTTAGATAAATTTTTGTTCTACCTCAACAACAGAACAGTTCTTTTAATACTGGACATTTATAGAAGAATAATATTTTGAACAATTACTTTGTTAAACTGGGTTGGTTCTGGACATGTATCGTTGTATGTCCATTTATTTGGTATATTTCGACTGCTATTGGGCAAAGCATGTCTGGTACGTCCTTCAACTGTTTCTTTGCAATTAGCTGAAGAAATCTAGCTATTTTTAGTTAATTTGAGTATTTTTCACTTTTTTTTATCAAAATATGCAAATGATTCATGAGACCATTAAGTTTCTTATTTTCTACATATCTTCAAAAGTTTCCAATTTAAAAATTTCCGATGCAAATATTAAAGTAGGCACTAAAAAAAATGTTAAAATAGGCCCTAAAAAAATATCAAAATAGATAAAGAATCGTTTTTTTTTTTTAAGTTAGTAATTTCCATAATTTTTTTCTCCTTATTTTAAAGTTTCTATTGAGAGAACTCATGAACTTCAGGGATTATACAGAATTTAAGCCGAATGGTAATCGCCACAATAGTATGGTACTATTGCACTCATTCGTGAGATTTACACACTTTACATTTTTAGTTTTTTCTTACTTTGCTTCTTACTTTTTATTTTCAACATTATACGCTGAGACACGGATGCTGTGTTTTTCATTCTGTTGTATCACTAATAAAGGGGCATAGATGGATTTAAGACGTAGCAGGGCTGATTCTATGCGATTAGTTAGTTATACCGCTTCAGATTTGTGGTATTTGAACATATGACGGGCCACTGTTATGGGTCTGAGCTGAGTCCTCGTTCGTCGTGTTCTGTCGATGGTGGTAAGTGGGTCCCTGGCTTTGATATCAGTGGTCATTGCTTTATCCTTATTTACAGTTCTCTTATCATATGTGAAGAAGTAAGTTATTCATGGCTATCGGAAGAAAATTCTTCTCAAGAATTGTGGGGTTTTCTAGTTACTCATCTAATTTTTAATTTGGATTATTCAAGAATAATGTAAAATGAAGCGCAGGCTAGAAATTTGACTACTTTCCCCCCGACTATTGTTTTTACACTAACTTTGATTTAATGTTCTGAGTTTTTAGGCATTAGCATTCCGTAGCATAACAATAGTTCATCGCACTCGAAGGACGCCGTCGGTTAAAAACGAAAATCTTATTCGAATTTTCTTCATTTGTATGTGTGTTCTTCATCTACTTTGGGTAATGATCTGTCATTTTTAGCAAGAAAATACCAAAAGTTACTTTATTGTTTCTAGTTTCTTGGACGAAATTTTTGGCTCGATATTAGTTCGCAGAAAATTTGATTAGTGAAATAGCTCTTTTCCCGTGAATAACTATAAAATCTTTAAGACATAATTTGTTTTATTAAGAATGAATAATTACTAAAATACACTCCCGTCTTCTGCTGGCCCTGCGGTGGACTTTCTTTTGACCGAAAGATTTGCGAATAAGTAAATTTTCTGCCCATAAATAGCTCTGCTATTATTTTTAGCATTATATCTGTAATATATGCATTGCGCTTGAATTAAATTAATCTTAACTAAAGATTAATTTTTCAAGACACAACTCTAAACATCCTTCAGTTACTTTCTTACAGGATTTCGAATTGTTGATCTCGGTCCTTTATTACCATCATATATATCACAAAGTGATGGGTGCATTGATCGCCATTCTTTGTTGGTATTTTACCTATCATATTTGGTACAGGAAGGTTGGAATTCCACCGTTGCCATTACAGCTTCGTAAAGTGATGTAATAGTTTATTGTTTCTACAAGTGCTTGACTTTGTTTCACTTATGGATTTCATTGATTCCATAGGTAATAAGGGATTTAAACTACTAGCAAATTAGCAGTACATCATCTCTGGTTCATCATCTCTACGCAACGCTAAAGAGTAGTCGAGTACTAAATTACCGAAGGGATTCTCGATGTCAGTTGTTTAACCACATATTTCATTTCCCCTACTGACTGTCGATGAAACTTATAGATCTCTTCTAAAATCTTTCTGTTTAATTCACGGAGCTTGCCTAAAATGCAACCAAGTATTCATAAGGTTCCATGGTTTGATTTTAAAAAGTAAAAATTTGCAATAATAATGCTGAGGAGCTTTTAAAGTCTTCTAATTTTGATACAGCCTTTTCCTAGCCCATTCGATTTTATCTACACTCATATGTGCCCTGATTTGTATTTATTGAAAACAAAACATCCCATTCTGCGGGAGTAGAAGTAGGATAGCATAATAAGTACGAAAGGTTCCCGAACACTGAATGCATCAACTCTATAATGACTAAAAGATCTTGAAACTTCGAACTGCTTGAAATCCACATGACTGGTTAATTCGTTGCCAATACATGCCTCCGGCTTTATATTGTATTTTATGCAAAAAAAAAAAATCCTTTTATACGTACGCTAAACTCATTGATATGTCTTTATTCATACGCTTTCAGTAATATTCAGGTTATTTTCTAAATTTCCAAACCAAGATAACGAAGCAGGAAATTTTATTTAATTACATTAGTGTTATATTACATTGTTGCTTTAAAATAGTGAACGATAAACAGCTAGAAATTTTTTGTACACAATTCTCATTAAAAAATCTTAAAGAAATTGATGGAAAAATGTTCTTCACGGTGTTTTCTGACTGGAAAACATTTCAAATTTTTATAGACCGTGAAAAAAGTAACCAAATATCAATAAAAAATCAGGATAGATTTCAACTCGGAACATCGAAACTGCAGTGCCGCAAATCCTAATTTCGTCACATAAAAAAGCAAGACTGAAATACAGGAAAGTTTGAATTAAGAAAATCGCACCTCGTCGTGGTTCCAAGAAAACTGCAGATTAGCGGCTAAATTAAATGGAGCAATTCAATATGATTGGAAATCAAATATTTTATTTCATGCGAATTTGTGCAGTTCATAAACAAGGTATAATGGAATATGTTTAAATACTAATCTACCTCAACGTATTAAAAATACCAGCGATTAAACGGGAAAAAGTTTGGACTGTGTGGAAAGAACAACCAAGAAAAAAGAATTATTCCGTTTTACAAACAGTTCGTCATGAACTGTTGTTGCCTGTTACCACAGAAGTTATCGGAATTTTTTTTACCCGCTTTCAGGACCTGTAGTACTGATAGTCGGACGATTTGTTTGACAATTTTTGTGACAAGTTCCAGGGTACAGCTCTTATTGAAACATGGAATGTGTATAAACAGGGAACAGTTTCTGTTATGCCGAAGTGAGATGTAGTAGGAATACGCGCACAGATACCTGAGAAGCACTTCGTACATTTATATCAAGACTATTAATCAGTTATGAAGTTATAATTCAAACCTATTAATCAGTTATGAAGTTATAATTCAAACTATTAATAGACTAATCAGTGAGAATTAATGGGAATGGATTTGAATGCATTGTATGCATCTTACGGAAGCCAAGTACAGGAAAAGCTGTACCTTGTCAAGTGCAAAATTGCATTGTTTTCATAAGATGTGCTACTTAAAATCACTAAATGAAGTTGCCATGTTGTAAATGATTTATAAATCATATTTCGTACTAATATGAATATGGTAGCTCATGAACAAACAAAACCTTTTTCTGATGAAATGCCGAACAAATTCCTAATTATGAAAAAGTCGAAAATTAAAATAAGAAACAACAGCATGACTCTAACCTTCCTGGATCATTGGATAACTCAAACTGCACACTTTCTCCAGCAAATTCCATCCTCGCTGCTTCTACAAGTTTTATGCAATCTAATCCAGTACATATAATATGTTCCTCCTCACCAGAAGAGTAATTGGCTAATAGACACTTATGGCTTTCGGGCGTTTTTGCTGAAACTTGACCATTATGCACAAATTGAATAGAAATAGGGATTTTATGCAAATTCAATCAGTTGAAATTATAAAATTTTGGAGAAATTCAGGTATTGATAATCTGATTTGCTAATGACATGAAAACGATAAAAATTTCTTCTCCATGAACAAAAATAATTACATTTAACGTCGTCTTGATAATAACCGATGCCGCAGCTTCTTGTTTCGATCCTAATGACATGACTCACGGAATGAACACCCAAATGTACAACAAGCTGCAAAACGATTTGGTATGCCATTGATAAGCTCTAATTATCCATTTCATTGCTAATGTTGATGCTAAAATTCGTATTTCAAATTTCTTGGAAGAATAAGAGTGGAATTGTAAATTTGCACTTCTTGAAATAATCAAATACAAAAACTGTGAGCAATGGGGACAATTTCAAAGTTAGTCATATTCTACACCTACTAAACACACTGTTTACCTAAGCACAAAGTAAAATGAGAAGACGAAACATCATGCTGAAGCAACGAAATGTAAAAATGAAAATCTCAATGATGATAATTTGAAATATGTCAAATACCCAACGAGCAAAACTTACATCAGGACGATATTTCTTCCACAGTTCACACACCATATACTGTACATCATCATATGCTACTGGCATCACCTTAACGACGATCCTGGCATCTGGTTGGATATTCTCGATACCTTAAGTCAAATTAGACTATGTATATCGATAATATAACCATACGTCCCTCATCGTAATTACTCATTTATTTGAAAGGAAGCATCCTCCCGATATTAGATGTACACTTATTCCTTTAGCAAAGTCTACAATTTAGTGGGAGAACATGGATAAAGAGGACGAAATAAAAACTTTAAAGTATTATAAGACGAGTTTCATTCATTTCAGTCAAAAGGGTACTGTACCTTCTTCGGCAATTAGCCGTACAACTTTTTCACTGGGATTACTGTCGAATTGTCCAAATGGACCAAATCCCGTAATGACGATTGTCAATTTCGGTTGTACCAGATTTGTCATTTTGTCGGAAATCTATAACAATGTATGCTCTCTAAGGATAAAAGCATAGTTCATCGTTTTCACGTATCAAATTTAAAAAAGTGTCTTGGTTTAGTTATCTTAAAAGACATAAAGTTGCATCTACCACCCTGCTTCAAACCTTCAAAAATGAGACGGAAGACTTTTCATCCCGTCCCATCAGCATTGCAGAGAATAGTAACATAATCACAATCTAAAATAACCATATAAGTTTACCTCAATAGCTGACCCGCTGTAGCACACAAGTAGATTCGCGATATTGCCCGAATTGCTGAACTGTCGGGTCATTTGCAAAACCGTCGGACTGTAGAACTTTTGCTCTTTCGTTAATCGATGTAGACATTGTCTGCAAGTTGATGGGACCGCCGGAAATGGATATTGGACAGATTGTTGGTTGTTGTTCCCTATGCTAAAATTTAATTTAATTAAGTACTTGTTATTTGATTACCCTACTTCTGACACTTATTTACTGAATAAAACTATTGCAGTGTAAAGGATGTCGAGCAAGAAATTGACATATAAGGAACGGTCGTCGATAACAGCCGTTTTGCCAACAGATCCACCTTTTATACAAAAAATTAAGGAGAAATTGGGCTACAAGCCACCGCCAACAATCGAAAATAAAGTTTCTTTTTAACTTCGATTTCCTACAACTGATTAATCATCTTATAGACTCACAACATTCCACTTTACTCTTTGCTTAATAGAAGTTTTTGTTTTGCCAATAAAATATTCATAGGAATTTTAAAAGAAAGAAAAAGTAGTGAGATAAGGCGCATTATTCATTTATATAGCAAGTGATTACACATTTGCTTAATGACTAGCACGTAGTAAATGCACGTTGTGCGATAGTAGATATTTATGAGCGACTGGAACTTGTTATTCATTTTCTAGTTAGCAGCTCACTAAATTCTGAATGATGTTACTTGTTGACCAAGTCAAAATACAAAACCATGTACAGAAGTTGCAAATCAAATCCAAAGCTTACTTTTAATGTGTCGTAGTTTTTAATCGAATAAGTAAGTCAAGTACGGTTTAAGTGATCATCACTGCACGGCTGATGAATTTATGCCTTTTTATCTGCTCAATAAATTCTGGGCAATAATGCTAGTTTCTAAAACGGAAAAAACATTCTGTTCAAGAAACTTCACATTATTTTTATAGTTCTCAGCGACCGCAGGTGAAGGATATGTTGAAAATGATCTGGACGACGATGACTTATCACGAGTGAATCAGGAAGACAGACCGCAAGTAAGATCTGCTTATCTGCTGTATTCGTAGAGGGACCTTCTTAAATGAAATGGATCCATTTAGATCGTTGTTTTGGACGCTCAGAGGGATCTGGGCGAAAAGGAACTAGAAGCTGAATTGAAGAAGAGAGATGCTGAGGAAGACCGTAAGATATTTCGGTTGATTTATCTTCCATCTTTCATATTGTAAAGCCACTTTTGAATTCAACTGGGAAGATTTCTCGAGATGTCGAGAAAAAAAAAGTGTTTTTCAGATTTGTCGTATTACGACATTGTTATTACTTGAAGTTTGCTTAGGATAAGAATAAGAAGGAAAGAAAAAATTCATGTTCAACAAATGTAATGTTTGCGTGACTTGTTTTAGATTTTAGACAAATAAATTCTTACAGGGCGAAAAATTGAGGAAGGGAAGATAATCTTTAAAAAGCCAATGAAACGGAAAGAACAGAATTCTGGAGAAGAAGCAAGCGAGAAACGAAGATATACAGAAGAAATAAAGAAAATAGCCGTGTCGAATTCAAGATTATTGTCGTTTAACGATGAAGAAGAAGATAGTGATTGATCGGACGGCATTTATATAAGTATGGAATTTTAAAAAATTCGTGACTAGCTCTTCTTTATTTCTGTTAAATCTTGTACCGCGTTCTAGTAATTCTTCGCAGTGGTGCTAGTTTGGCCAATTAACATTTGGTGACTCATTCAGTCATAGCAAGTTGACGCTGATTTCCCGTTTATATTAACGGTGAAATTGCCAAAACATGACTGAAAGACCCAGAATTTAGTACGTAATATATATACATATATATATATATATATATATATATATATATATATATATATATATATATATATTATATATATATATATATATATTA